AAAAAAACATATCGTGATATGAAAAAATCTCATATCGCCCAGCTCTAATGTCGACTATGAAAATTAGTCGACGTGAAATTTTACTGGCGACACGTCATATACTATTACCACGTAAATGTATTAGTATATAGTAGTTAATATTTTTTTTTCTGATGATCCTATTGATTATTGTTAAAAACACATCTGATTATTTTCACATTCATATGTTTCCTAAGTCATTAATTTAATTTGCTGTGAGACGAGACAACAGGGTGATATTCACAGGTGGGCAGACCTGAACATGTGAGGCACTGGAGCCTAGAACAGGAGGTTTGCCCGCAGGATGAGAGTTATTGAAATGATCGTTGACTAATTGACTAATTGAAGAAAAATTGGCAGATTAGTCAACTACCAAAATAATGTTTAGTTGGAGGCCATTTCTTTAGATGGAAGATATCTCCAAACACTCCATTTCGTGCTGTGCCTCTCTGAATCATGAAGTGAACATGCATGTATAAGCTGCAGTACCAGCAGGGGAGATCATATATTTAAAGCCAAGAAGCTCCTAGCGACCAAAGATAGTATGAAGTACAATCCTTCTATGCTAGTAACGATTAAGCTAGGCGGCTAATATGTATTTATATGTAAATGTGTTAATAATGTCTGTTTAAGCGCTTTCCCTTGATAATTTTCATTTTGGTTTGAAATGAAATATTTCCCTCTGCTGTTACTGAGCTTACTCAGCTTCTGCATGCGTGACTGTGTTATAAATAGGCACAGTGGACTGATGTATCTATTATATGCTTGACCTTAATACTGGTTTGAACAGAGACCGTTCATTAAAAGTTGCACATTTAAAATGTATCTGCTGCACCAGTGAAGTGTCTCTGTTTCTAGTATGTGTCACACTTTTTCGAGTTTCACTTAGGTTAGGTATGTAGCGAGTGTTTGCAAACAAGTCAATATCTTCCATGCAGTCTGCTAGTGACTTAAACAATCTCAGGGAGGGTTTTGGTGCAGCATTTTAATTCTGATTGTGACTCAGCGATGACCAACAGCTTCTAGCAACCACTTACCAACTGGTTGGAGAATGCACATTTTTTCCAGAGACTGCTAGGGAGTTTCCAACCATTGTAAATGAGGCCTAAGCTAACAAAGAATATAACATTTGTGGGCCAGACAACTAAAAGAGGCTAAAAATTCTAGTTAAAAAAAAGAAAAGTTAAAAAATCTATCCTAAATTAACTTACAGTCAGTAGATATGCTTACCTGTATTTGCAGCTCTATATGCACATAATTTCCATGTACAACCTTCCCACAGCAAACTGGCCATATTCTTTGACAAGTAATTTATCTTGTTGAAAACACTAACTAAACAGTCGCCCCACAAGAACGTGTCAGTGTTTAAACTAAAGACAATAAAGTAATTTTTATGACAGTAGTGATAATGGCCTTTGTTTCTAATGTGCCTTAGATTCCATTGCCCAGCCTGTGCTAATACTGAAAACATGGCACACAGATACAGTTTTAAGGGTTATAGCACAAAACAAAACCATACTTAATGTGCTAGAGAGTAATGAAGGTTAATCACGCACACCTTTATGCATTGCTACAGCTATAAAGTGAATCTTTGTCTCCCAGCAGGATAGAGATTAATCATAAGCTGGTATTTGTTGAGCCTGTTAGGACTCAGAAACCCTGCATGTGGTTTTATGGGGATACTATAAAGTAGCTGATGCTGCAGCTTTTATATACCAAATTAATAATTTTGCTTCAGTGAATGGGCTGTTAATGGTTTCCAAAGCATAAGACAGTAATTTCCCCTGATGTTCTAAATGTCAACAGCTGACAGTGGGAAGCTGTAAAGCTGTGACTTCTTGTTTTGGAGCTAAAATCAAACTTTAAAAGCAGAACCTAAAGCAGAACAGCTGTTTGTTTGAACCTCTTCCTATCCCCTTTGTGTCTGAAACAGTCTGTATATCTATGTTCTATGTGAAGCAACAGAATGAACTGAACTTGAATCTTTAAATGCTTCAATGAGTGTGATGTGAAACAAAGAACATACATGTCCTGATTGAACAAATTTAAACTGGAGCGCTCAAACTTGAGAGTCCCAGTTTAATTAAGCAGTTACACACGTGGTGCACATAAGATTCAAAGAAGCCTGTAAAACTTTGGCTGCAGTGTTTTTGATCTAATGTTTGGTGTACATGTGTGAGTTAGAAGCACACCAGGGTTGCATGCAGCTGTCTAAGAGGATCTCTTGCTGTTATGTGATGAAATACCCTCAGTCACCTTTTTCATTGCACATTGTATAGGTTTCCATAAACTGTATTTGTTTTCCATTAGAAATTCTGATTTAATTCAGTAGATCAATCAAAATAGTTCAAACTAAGATAACTGTTAACAAAGCAGAGAACAGGAAATTGGCTTTACCAGATTTTATGAAGGTGAATATTAACATCGTATTGATGTTAATGATAGACAAAGTGTGTCTGACATCTGCCAAAGTTAGCTGAAGCCAGAATACTGAAATGGTTCATATATGGTGCTTTTGTACTTGAGCAATCGAAGCACTTTACACAAGCTACACCTAAGTGCTTTCTATTTAACATTGTCACGCAGATGAACACATCAGAGCAAGTTCAGTATCAGGATTCTTTGGCATACAGACAGGAGCAGCCATGGATTGAACCACTAACCTTCAGATTAGTAGATGACCTGCTAAAACTCCTGAGCTACAGCCCAGTGAAAGACTGGATGTTTGCTTGTATAGTGCAGTACAGCTGCAAGTCTTCCTCGGCCTCTTCCTCCTTGCGCTTTATGCCATCTTTGAGCTGACTGTGTTATAAATTATGGATTACAGTGAAATGCCTGGTGTCTCTCAAACTGCTATGTTCCACTGACCCATATCTGCTGTTTGCATTTCTTCACGCTCCTGTTCTTTAAGCCTTGTGTTTATATTGACTGCAGTGGGTTTAAAGTCTAGTCTGATTCCTGGCAAGGACTGCAAGAGCAGACAGAAAGTTATACTAAACGTCGCATGATGCATCTACAAAAAACAAGAAATATTACAATGTGTGGAAATATGTGCCACGTGTAACTCACAAAGAGAAGTCCAATTATTCTATCCTAAAACTATATCAAGAGACATTTCATTCAATATTTGGTATTGCACTAAAGAATGTTGAACACAAGCTATGTTGTATCGTTCACATTTTCCTGTGTGAAAGTAGTTCACAGACAGACACACAGTTACTACAGCAACTGAGCTCTTAAAACGTCTTTTTTTTTGAAGCACCACAGACAAGCTGGAGCATCAAAGGTGAATGAATCAGTTTCTGTTGTTTCCACCTGTATAGAAATGCTGTTTACAGAATAGTTTCAGTTTTAAGATGAAACTATATTTGTAACAATTTTTTAAAGATTTGTGTCTTCAACAGGAACCAGACAGCCTGGGGCTGAGAAACTAACATTTATTTGTTTTGGTATTTTTGGAGGATTTATTAATAGAAGGAAAAAATACAGACTACTAATCTTAACCTTTATCAGTGTGATAGTAATCACTTTGGAGGAAACACTGATCCTGTGTTATATTTATGTCTTTTAGTTAATTTGAATCCAACAGCTAAGAGTGGACAGCAGTGTGAGTTTGCCTTCTGTTGACCAAAGATGAGGGAATAATTTGTGTTTTAACTTGATCATATCTGGCAGCTGACTTGTCCCCTGAATATAACCCTTCTGCGTTTTAGATTTTAGAAGCTCAAAAACAAGATAATCTCTTTTTTCTTTCAAGTATGTTAATTATTACAGAAATAGTCTTATCACTAAGGAGAAGATTAGTCTGAATAAATAAGATAACATTTATGAAGATTAATTGCTATCATCGCCCAGGCAGCCAAAACTCATGCGTGTGCTTAATTTTGTATTCTACTGATGTTTATTTTCTGGGCTGAATCTGTACATGAATATCCTGAACTCCTGAAGGAGCATCAAAGAGTTTAGGAGACTTTAATCATCCAAATAATTTTGAACATCCACTATAGCTATACACACTGGTGTTTAGTTTGTTTTAAAGAAGACAGAAAACCAAAAACATTCAGATTAAAAGATTACAAATCTTACTTTGAGAGGACGCATTGGTATATTCTAAATAATAATTAATAACTGCTGACTCAATATATTCTCTGTCTTACAGTGATCATGGGAGGCTGTTGACATCTGATCTCCCCGTTAGCTCAGAGGACGCTAGAGTAGCTCGAAAACACCGCCGGGTGTGCAGTCACTGGTCCAAACATGGCTGCCCATCGAATCAGAGCCACGACGAACAACAACGCTTCCCTGCCTCGCTGCAAATCAGAGGGAACGCTCATCGATCTCACCGAAGGAGTGTCAGAAGCCAGTCTCACCGATGTCAAAGGTCAGCAGGCCTGAAAAGCGTATTGAAATTAATGACACAAGAGTCATTTATTTCTTTTTTTCTGTTTTGCTCTCAGGTTTGAAGTACTTTACTTTAAATAAGCTGATTACAATTTTTCAGAGATAAACTTTGATAAATACTACTTTTAAGTGCGTTTTAGGGTACATTTTTCAGTATTGTTAAAACTAGGAATAAAGTTTAAATAAACCCCAGACTCAGCAGTGAACTTCTTTAGATGCAGACTCTGTTTTGTAGTTGTGTTTATGGGGATTATAGGTACTATCTTTGATAATTGTAGAGCTCTGTAAAATCCTGTGTAAACAACTCCACAAAGAACATTCTAACTCATTCCGCATTGAGCCATCATTCTGCCATACATATTGTTGTTAAGTGTAGGTAAGATACACAGGAACCAAACCACCCCCCAAAAACAACAACAACAACAACAAAAAAAACCAAAATAGGGGCATGAAATAGTGAGAGAGCTTTCCTTCCATGTCTGCACATCTGGTAGTGACACTCCATAGCTGAATATAAATGGCCCAGGTTCTGCATATGTAGACAAAAAAATATTTAGTTCTTGAAATAATTTGTAATAAATAAAAATTTGTTAAAGCCCTATTTCTAGAATTTTAGAAGTTAACCCTACTTCTCTATAGAAACACTGAAAAGTTGATGACTAGCACTTGCCTTATATACATAATGATGTATTTCACCACAAAAATATCACACTTTCATGTTTTATTTATTTATTTTTTTCCAGTGCCTTCTCCCAGTGCCTTACGACTGGACACAACTGCCTCCTTTGGCACTGCCAGGGAGGTTGTTGCCATTAAGGACTACTGCCCGTCTAGCTTCACCACCCTGAAGTTCTCTAAAGGAGATCGCCTCTATGTTCTGGACTCGTCAGGAGGAGAGTGGTGGTATGCCCACAATAACAAAGAGATGGGTTACATTCCTGCAGCATATGTGGAGCCCATTAACTACAGAGACTCGTCCTTCAGCGACAGTGGGATGATTGACACTGTGGGAGACTGCAATGAGGAGGCAGCCAAAGAAATGGACCTTCTAGGCGAGTGGGCAGGAGTGATTCTTAAACCAACCACCTTCCAAAATGGAAATCCTTTTGCAACTAACCATACCTCTACAAATCCCTTTCTAAACGGGGGTCCCCAGAGCTCACTTGATCAAAACAGTAATGAAAAATCAGTTGATCTTCTTCTGTTTGATACCGTCACTCCATCGTTGCCCAAGTCCACCAGCAGCACTGCTGACATTAATGGTTTTGGCAGCGGTGTTATCAGTTTGAACCCTGTAAGTCCTGTGGGGGTTGGTCAGGTTATGCGCAGAGACAACCCGTTTTTTAGAAGCAAACGTTCCTACAGTCTGTCGGAGTTATCCATCCTGCAGGCACAGTCCGATGCTCCTCAGGCCTCTGCTAGTTTCTTTGGAGGCCTTAAAGCACCAGCACCAGAGCAGTTTCAGAGCAGGGAGGATTTCCGGACTGCATGGCTTACACACCGCAAGTTGGCCAGGTCCTGCCATGATTTGGATTCCCTTGGCCAGAACCCAGGCTGGGGCCAAACGCAGCCGGTGGAGACTAACATCGTATGTCGACTAGACAGCTCAGGCGGAGCTGTCCAGCTTCCGGAAACCAGCATCAGCATCCATGTACCAGAGGGCCATGTCGCCCCTGGGGATACACAGCAGATCTCAATTAAAGCTCTGCTAGACCCGCCGCTAGAGCTCAACAGTGACCGCTGTACCACTGTCAGCCCTGTGGTGGAGATTAAACTCAGCAACATGGAAACCAAAACCACTGTTACCCTGGAGATGAAAGTGTCTGTTGTGGTAAAAATGGAGAGCAGGCAGACTACTGAAGTCTTGTGTGTACGAAGTGATTGTAAAGAGGGACCTTACACTCCTGTTCCTCAGGCATACATGTATGGAGACACAGTCCAGGTGTGCCTGGATAACCTTGAGCCATGTATGTACGTGTGTGTCGTGGCTCAGGCTCAATCCTTATCTCCAAATTCCACAGTTTGGGAGCATGTGGTTAAGAAGATAACTTTGGGAGTGTATGGTCCCAAACACATCCATCCATCCTTCAAAACAGTGGTGGCTATGTTCGGCCATGATTGTGCGCCAAAGACACTGTTGGTGAGTGAGGTTGGCAAGCAGGCCCAGTCTGCACCACCAGTTGCTCTCCAGCTCTGGGGCAAACACCAGTTTATCCTGTCCCGACCGCAGGACCTTCGTGTAGGAGTTTATTCCAACATGGCCAATTATGAGGTAAAGGCTAGTGAGCAGGCCAGGGTAGTTCGAGGATTCCAAGTTAAGCTAGGCAAAGTCAGCAGGCTTGTCTATGTCATTGCATCACGCGCAGACGATGTGTCGGATTTCACCCTAAGAATCCAGGTCAAAGATGACCAAGATTGTATACTGGCCCAGTTTTGTGTCCAGACACCAACACCGCCACCCAAAGCAGGCCCAAAGACATCAGCGCAACGGCGATTCCTGAAGAAGAAGGAAGTTGGTAAGATTGTCTTGTCTCCTCTTGCCATTGCCACTAAGTATCCTGTTTTTCAGGACAGGAGAATAAACAACCTGAAGTTTGGAAAGTTAATCAAAACTGTCATACGACAAACAAAAAATCAGTACTTGCTTGAATATAGGAAAGGAGATTTTGTAGCTCTGTTAAGTGAGGAGAAGATCAAGCTGAAGGGCCAGTTGTGGACAAAAGAATGGTACATTGGATATTATCAGGGCAGAATGGGACTTGTTCATTGTAAGAATGTGCTAGTGGTCGGCAAAGTTAAGCCAATTTACTTCACTGGGCCTGACCTCACAACCTCATTGTTACTTGAGCAGATACTGAAGCCCTGCAAGTTCCTCACATATATTTACGCCTCTGTAAGAACTATATTGATGGAGAACATTGGCAACTGGCGAGCATTCGCAGATGCACTTGGATATGTCAACCTACCCTTAACGCATTTTTGCCGCGCTGAGCTGGACAGCGAACCAGAGAGGGTTGCATCAGTGTTGGAGAGGCTGAAGGAAGACTGCAACAATGCCGAGAGCAAAGAGAGGAAGTCCTTCCAGAAAGAACTCCTGACAGTAAGTTACTACCTTGGCATCCTCCTCTGTAGCAGTGACATAGCGTTTTCTTTGAGCAACCGATTTGAAGAAATGAAAATTGTTCTTTTCTGTTTTAACTTTTCAGTTTCATTTCGATACATTATGGCCTTCATTGGTCCAATTAGAGGCATTATTTGTTCTTTATCCCCTTGGTTGGACACTTGTTTCTTAAAGCAAAATTATCCCTCTGCTGTGTTATCTTCCCACAGCTGCCTTAGGATTTAGGCTGTGGTCCAGTCTACTGATTCTGCTGGGAGTGCAGTCAATAACTGCTGTGTAGGCATCGGGGTCTAATCAGGACCGAGGAGCTATGCAGAGCAGCAGAATACTTTGTCCCCATGAGTATGCTGATCCTACAAATCCAATAGATAGCATAGACTGCACTTGTAATTTTTTTACTTTATGTGCAAATAAATCAAATACCAGGAAAGAAAAAAAAAGTGTTGAGAGCTTAATGAAACTGGCTCTTACTCTGGTATGTACACTAAGACATTTCAGGAATGGAAACAATGATACTGAATTAATTAATTCTGTGAGGCTAACGTGTGATTGATGATGAGAAGTAACCCAAACTCTATTTTTTGGTGAAAAATGCATGTTTTTCATTTGTGTCAGTTCCAATTACTATGATTTTGACCAGTGGTTGTGACAACTTGGGAAACAAATCCCGTATTCTTAGGTTATCATTAGGGGTTAGGGTTAGCGATACAGCTCAGCCAGTTAGAAAGAAACACAGGTGCTTGTCAGCTCATAACAAAAACCCTTTTCTTTACATCTCTTTTTTCAGTTGGGCTTTAAGTAGAATATCAAATGTGGAACGCTTTAGCGAAGTTTAACATTTTTAGGGATTTTACTGGGGCTTTTCTTCTAAAGTGAACAGATGTGTCTGAAGCCTGGTCATTATGCTTATGTATTGTGTTTTTTTCTTTTCAGTGCATTCAGCCTTTTTTTTTTCTCGGAGGGGGAAAGGCCAAAATGCTGAGCTGTGCTCACTGTAAATGTGCAAACCAGCTCTGTCTGGCACTCAGTTATACATCTTCTGTCATGGAAATGTGGATTTTCGCCTCAGCGCCTCAGGCTGTCTGGATATCGAGCCTCATCCTTACATGCCTAAACACACTGTTTGTGGAACTGTGCTCCGTAAAATTTGGCATTTTTCATTTTACGACTTACATTTTACATGTCTGTGTGCCCCTGAAATATTACTTTTTAGTGGGCTGTGTCCCCTTTTGACTTGAGGCACTGTTTCTACGCTTTGTTTCTGTATCAGTACATTATCCTCCTGAGAGTTTCTCGGAGGTCACAGACATCTTACAGCTGAAGTAATGCCGAGCAGAAACACTGTAATTTGCACAGGGTTGTAAACACTAGTTAGAAACATTTATAGACAGAGAAACTGCAGTATGGAAAAGAACATAATAAAAGGTGGTGACTGAAAATATGCCCTGCTTGGTAGTTTGAACATAGGCCTGTTTTTATGTTATTCCTGTCTGGATTACACATAAACTACTGGTTACTCTCAGGACAATCAAAGCACGCAATGATCACTCAGATTCAGTATCACGAACGGTTGTTTTACCAGCGTACATATTCTCGTTTGACCGATGTGCAAACACTGCTCCCCCCCCCACCCCCGAAAGCAGAATCATTTGCGTGATCAAATCTTCCCTCCTCTGGAAATTGAGCTATTTTCTGTGTCGGGGGGACATTCTCCAACGATTCGCCTGTGTGCCATTTGACGTGCCATTTTGAAATCTATTTTTAGACGAAAGAGAACCAAATCAAAAGCACTGTGGCTGCACCAAAGAGCAGTCTTTGTGTTAAAATGTATGATGCTTTTTTAGTGTGCTTTGATTATTAGTAGAGAAAAGGAACATTGTATGTATATATGCACACATCCAGTCCTGCAATACATCTTCCTTCGCAACGATTATGAGCTTCAGTTTAAGCTGCACCTGTATTGCAGAGGCACAAAAGGTATTATGTTATGAGATGATTATGTTATGTGCTTATATTGTAACTTGGCCACTGATGTATGCTGTGTTCCAGAGTCTGTGCTTAAGGTGACATCTTTATAAGCCATGTTTTGGTCCACCAACCGTCCAGAACTAATTTTCTGTAGTTTAGAACAGAAACTGAGCAAATCTTCACATTGGAGAGGCAGAAACAAGACAACGATTTGAGACTTACTTCTGCCATGTGAGTAACTTGCAGATCTTTTATAAACCGTAACAGGAAGGCAGAACAGCAGGGAAGTCTGTCACTCAGACTAATTCCCCATACATCTGCATGATGTTTTATTCAGAAGTAAAATCAGTAGGGCTGTACTGCTGTGCTCATATTCATATAAATCCATCAATTCTTTTCTTACATTTTTTAATTTCCACAACATGTTGGAGTGTTTATTACACTTCAAACCAATTAGCTGGTTTCAATTTAAAATATTATTTCTAATATTACGACAACCGCGGGTATTTTCTGGCGCCACCATCAGGTCAGGGTGTTCTTACACTAACTAACTTAGTGTAGCTAAGTTTTTCGTTGTTGTTGTTTTTTTAACAGTAGTCAGAATACTAAACTAGGATTAAAGTGAATTTTTTTTGGTTTGCTGAGAGTGATTTTCAAAGAGCAATACAGTGCATTCTAGTGTTTTTTTCCATAAGGTTTGTTTATATCAACAGGCAGGGACAAGCTTGACTTCTCTGTCGATACCTTGGGAGTACAGCTGGAGATTTATTTCAGCTGTCTCTGTGTGACTAACTGGAGTCTGTGATTTTTTTCAGTCATTATGAAAAAAAAAATCTGTGTCTCATCTAAACAAAATAAGCATTTTCTTTCTCATAATAACACAGCCATAGATGGTAGATGTTTTAAAGGAAGTAAAGGGGAGACATGCTGTGGACTACATGAACATTTAGCATCCTAAACAGTGTAATAAATGGGGAGTGATTTCAGATTTATGGACAGCTCAGTTGGCAACAGAAAAATAAAGTGGCATTATGTTAAAAAAAAGAAAGAAAAGCATTTACACTAGTGATGGGATTTCGGGCTCTTTTTAGAGATCCGGCTCTTTCGGTTCGGCTCTTTCGGCTCCGAACCGGCTCTTCAGGTTGTTTTGTTGCTTTAATTAATTTATTATTAACAATAAT